GGTGGCAGCTGATGAGCGCCCCACGTCAGATACGTCCCATAGTTATTAAATCAACAATACACTATACACACTTGTTAATGGAGTAACTGATCATGTTGATGGTAACATCCGTCTCGCAGCTCTTCCGTCTGTGGACGCTCTCTTCAAATTGGACGAAATGTCTGATGGCGACTTTAGCCAAGCCTTACAGTCCGGAGAAATATCCGATTTAGTGGTCATTCGACCCGATGCAGAGTTGAGTCCTTCCTCGTTATTGGACGAATCTGTCCTCGAGGACACAAAGGAATCATTAATTGCGCGTAGTTGATCTGCGATCCTTAAAGATCCGCTGGATCCGTTTTATCCTTTGGTAAAGGAATTTCAAGACGTGGTGTGTCACGACCCGCCGTCTCTCTTACCTCCTAACAGGGGTGTGCGTCACGAAATTGACCTAGTTCCTGAAACTAAATACTGCGTAACACGGCAGTGGCCTTTACCAAAATAGCAGTGTGACGTCATAGTCTACTTCTTTCGTGCAAAGCACGCAGCGGGCATGGTTCGTGAGAGCAAATCTCCTCATACCACGCCTACATTTTGTGTTTGAAAGCCCAATGGAAAGTGGCGCATTGTTCATGCTTACAATAAGCCTAATGCTGCCACGATCCCGGCTCAGACACCAATCCCTAGGAAAGATGTTCTTTAGAACAATATAGTGAGATGTACAATGTACAGTGCACTCGACTTAGTCGATGGTTATTACCAATTACTCATGCGTGAGATGGATATTCCGCTAATAGCGGTTAGTACCCCAAGCGGTATGCTCTGGGAGTGGCTAGTTATGCCACAGGGCTTGTCAAACGCCCCAGCTACGTTCAATCGTCTTGTGACACAACTGTTTCGTCCTCACCGAGGTTATGCACAGATCTACTTTGATGACATCTTTGTTCATAGTCGTGCTAAGAACGGCCGGTCTGATGTGGACAATCACATCGACCATTTACGAGCAGTGATCGAGTGCTCGCGCACGAACAAGTTGTATGCCAACGCCTCTAAGTACATCTTTGGTGCACAAGAGATTCCCTTTTTAGGGTGCTTCATTGGGAAGCGTGGTCTTAGAGCGGTTCCTGCTAAGATAAAAGCCATAGTCGATTGGCCGGTTCCTAAGAACCAAAAGGAATTATGTAAGTGGCTTGGTCTTGCCAATTACTTACGCAAGTATAGTGCGAACTACGCAGACATGGCTCGGCCATTATCCGATCTCCTTAAAAAGGATACGGAGCGGTGTTGGACTAACACCGAGCATGAAGCCTTTACAGCGGTTAGAGAGAGTCTTCTTCATGCACCAATCTTGGATTTGCCCGATCCTGATCGGCCTTTCAGTGTCGTCTGTGACGCATCTGACTTTGCCATAGGCAGTGCTCTGTTACAAACAGATGATAATGGATGGGAACGCGTCATTGCGTTTGAGTCCCGACAGCTAAAAGCAGCTGATAAGAATTATCCAGTTCATGACTAAGAGCTACTTGCAATGAAGTATGCTTTAGTCAAATTCAGAGTTCATCTGCTTGGCTCCAAGACTTTTGTGATCTATACAGATCATGCGTCATTACGCACTGCGACCCAGTCACCACATCTCTCTCAGCAAATGGCCCGTTGGCTCTCATTCTTTGCGGAATATAACTTCGAGGTGAAGTATAGGCCGGGCAAGCATAATGCTTTGGCTGATGCGTTGTCACGTAGACCTGATTATGAGCTTGCTCATGTTACGACTCTGTCATCATCGGTCACAGACCTCATTCGTTTGGCATATGCCAAAGATGAACATTGTGTAGCTTTGCTACGTGCTCTAGAGAGCGAGGAGTATACCGACTCAGACATTCAATTGTCGGCACGTTTGCGTGCGAGGCTACATCGATACTCCATCGATCAAGGCCTGTTGTGCTATAGCACAGATATGAAGGATACTCCCCGTATCGTTGTCCCGCATGATGAGGAATTGAAGTATCGCATCCTCTATCAGGCGCATGATACTGCGGTGAGCGGTCATCTCGGTCGAGATAAGACATATAGCTCCGTGAGGCAATGTTATTGGTGGTCAAAACTTTACAAATGGGTAAGCACATACGTGCGTACATGCGAAACGTGTCAACGGGTAAAACCCTCAGCTCATGCGGCTGCGCCGCTCGCTAGTCTCCCTTTACCCTCTGGGTGCTAGGAGTCCATCAGCATGGATTTCATGTTCGGTCTGCCGAAAGATGTGCAAGGCAATACGGGTATTGTGGTCTTTGTTGACCTTTTGAGCAATATAGCCTATTTAGCGGCGGTGCGGGATATCATTGATGGTGAAGGTATAGCTACGCTGTTTATCGATCGAGTGTTTCGACAACACGGCTTGCCTGTGGAAATTGTCTCTGACCGAGATCCTTGCTTCACTGGGCAGTTTTGGAAGTCCATCTTCAAGGTGCTAGGCACACGTTTGGACATGTCCACAGCGGATCATCCGCAGACCGATGTTCAAACCGAGCGAGTCAATCGCGTTATCGGTGATATATTACGCAGTGTTTGCGCTAATACTTAAAAACGTTGGAGTTCGATGCTCCCTGTTGTTGAGTTTGCGTTAAATAACGCTGTTCACGCCTCTACAGGCTTTACTCCGTTCTACGTGAACGGTCTCACACACCCTCGCGTTACGTTAACGCTACCACCGCGTGGTTCAGGGCTTAGTGGGGGAGATATGGCCGATCGACTTGCAGATATTAGCCCTGCTACTGTTCACAAACAGGTAAGCGAGTTTCTCGCAACGCGCTTGAATGTGTTACGACACGTACGTGATGCACTGGCTGATAGCCAAGATAAAATAAAGGAACAAGCTGATGTTAAAGGCAGAGGTTGTGTTGAAAGTTATAAGGTCGGAGACCAAGTTCTACTCAATGCTAAAAACCTACCTACAAATGTAGTCTCTGCTGTCTTCAAAACAAAGTTGCGTCCGCGCTTCATTGGGCCATTCACGGTCATTGCTAAGAAGGGATTGGCGTACACGCTCAACCTTCCGCGCAAACTGGGCACGCACCCAGTGTTCTACGTTGGATTTCTTAAGCCGTATCGGGACCCGTCCCATGTGAACTCAGAGGCGCTTGCGCCGGTAATAGGTCCTTGCTGTCGGCTGTTGCATCCGAACCAGGAGGTCAAGCTGACCATCCACATAAGCTAAGGCCAACTTCAACGCTTGAACACGGGCTTGCATCGCGTCGAGCGCACTCTGGGTCTTACCCGATGTCTCTTTGAGACCACTCAGCGCACGGAGCACCTTCTCATGCTCCTCCTTCGGTACCCCGACCACCACCGACGCTGCTCGATGAGCAAGGGAACCACCAATTCCATGTGGAGAAAATCCTTCAGCGACGTCGTCGTAGTGGCCAATACCAGTATATAGTGAAGTGGCGAGGGTACCCGGAGTCGGAGAACTCGTGGGAGTATGAGATACTCCTTCGGTAGGACTGCCCTTACGCCGTGGATGTTTTTGAACATCGTGACCAGGGTCGCCTTGCGATGGAGAAAGCTTCTCACCAATAGTGGTGGGAGGTAGCGTGTTGCTCCGCACCTTAGGGTCGTGACCCGTGATTGCCATTGTAGCCGGATCATAACGCGTACGTGTACGCAACTGGCCCCTGGCCTTGAGTTTGGCATACTCGAACCGGAGCTTTCGTTCCAATTTAACGTCGGCCACATCGGCGCTGGCCCGCAGCGCTGGCACACTGCTAAGGTGTCGCTTGAGATACACCCAACGAATGAACTGATTGTCCTCCTCCTCGGGCAGTTCGCCAGCAAACAACAAGATGGGCACGCCCTTTATCGGTCGAACCGAAACACCATGAGAGAGACTTTCCAAGGTGTGCAAGGTACTGACCTTGCGTGGTAAAGAATGGTTCGAGATACCTCTCATGTAGAACCTTACGGAATACAATGTCTTCCGGCGACGTAGCCTCTGGTGCAATTGCCCATGTTGAAAGACTACGGCCTTCCGCTTGACGGAGGCGTTGCTCCACGTCAGTTGTTGCAAACACGTAACCACTCCGGTCTTGAATAACCGTCTGGGTATGAGTGCGACGTAGAGCACGCTACTCACGCTGGAGGGTCAACTCCTATTGCTCGTCGAGCGGGTTTGTGATGATGTTCTCATCTGCATCTGTTGTATGATGCTGCGCCCCTGGCGCATTGGTATCACCACGTTCAACGAACGGATTCGGTGCTGTTAGAGGTCGAGCCTCAGATACAGCGGAGTGGGACGATATCCCTTCATCTCCATGGACACTGGTATCAGTACCATAGTCCACATCCTCATTAAGACCGAGGTAGGAGGAAAGAGTCCGAGACTCGTTGGGTGGCGATGCCATGGTGTTTCGTGTTTTGCCACCGTGAGGTTAAGCGCACACAAACCGACCTCTCCGAGGAAAAAAAACCGATTGACGTTTTGTGGTAATGTCAGTCTGGTGGGGGAGGGTGTAACGGGGTTACACGTCGGCCTGTAGTCGACGATAGGTGTGGTGCACACAAGAAAGGGGGTAACCTATAAGTAATTTTAGAACACAGTGAGTGTATCAATTGTTGAAGACTTATTTCTGTCATCAATTGATTACGAGATCTTTAGAGAGGTTGTACTTTGAACCTTAGTGACTAGGTTAAGTACGTTGTTCTATGGTCTTCTTTTAGGTTTAATAAAGAAATAAAAATTCACCTTCCCTTTTGATCACTGAAAGACACGTGCCTTACGAGGCGTCTTTGATCGGGAGGACAAAAGCAATGCCTGTAAAGGTAGCTTGTCCTCGAGCACTCTGTGCTGTGATTCGTTTGAATCGTTTGGTCCCTCTGGAACGGGGACCGTTAGCTCTCTGAGCTATTGACTCTCTGAGTCGGGTTCTGTGAACCAAAGTTGCTCGTGCGAGCGTAAAGTCTTCCTCTGACTTAAGGAGCTGTGTAGCTCCGCTGAACTGGTCGTTTTCGTCATCGTGCTCTCGATTTTCATGCTAACGTACGACCTGACCAAGGGCGAGGACTCGGACAAGCTCGTGCTGGATAATTACAAGTACGGCTCCATCGTGTCGTCGCTCGCCAACGTTGTCCAGATCACCATCATGACAAAGATCTACAACTACGTTTCGATTGTGCTTGTGGATTAGGAAAACCACCGCACGGATATGGAGTACGAGAACAGTCTCATTATCAAGACTGTCATCTTTCAGTTTGTAAACAACTACGAGGGTCTGTTTTACGTGGCGTTCCTGAAAGAAGGGTGCGAAGGTTGCGATGTGAGCTGCATGCAAGAGCTCGTGTACATGCTCGCGATCGTGTTATGCTCGCGACTGTTTGTGGGCAACATTGCCGAAGTGGCTGTTCCTCGCCTGTTTGTATACTTCAGCAGGTACCAGTTACTGGGTCACTTGAATGACTACAAGCAGTCCAATGCTGTACGCGAACTCTTTATGGCGCAGTACGACTGGCACGGTACCTTTGACGACTACACGGAGATGGCGCTCCAGTTTGGCTTTACGACAATGTTTGTCGTGGCTTTTCCGTTTGCGCCTATGCTGTCCTATGTGAACAACTACTTTGACATCCGCTTGGACGCATGCCATCTCATTTTCGAGTCGCGTCGTCCACACCCGTGTAAGGTGCGCAGCATGGGATACTTGTACCAGGTGCTGCAAGCGTTTGAAGCGATCTCCGTGTGTACCGATGATGCAGTTATCATTTTCACAGGCGACTTCTTCAATCATCTGGAAATGCCCACCCGCGTGTGGATGTTCACAATCTTCATCAACGGCATGTTCATGTTCAAATACTTCCTCGAGATCTGCATCGCCAACGTGCCGGAGGATGTAACGGGGCAGCCCGTTACATGAAATTGTTACTTTAAGGAAAGTGACAATAAAGAATATGAAGTTGGATATTCTTTAAACAATATCACCAAAGTGGTGATATTGATGAATCGACCAAAGCGTCTGTTCATCAGCTGATATCGTGATGATATCATCCCACCAATCGCCGCAAGACGCGCGCAATGAGTGGTGACGAGACGTCGCCATACACCCAGTTATATTAGTATAGTTAAACTAAGTCAAACAGAGAGACAGAGGATAAAAGACTTATTTATATTAAAAAACAGTTCTGCTTTTACCCTACCTACGCTTCCTCGCTTGCCACGTGTACGCCTGTCGGGGCACCGAAACCCCTTGCGTTAAGTTACGCAAGGGTGTGCCCCGTTACACCTGGTAGCACTTTGTAGTCCTTCCAAAGACCACAACATCCAGTATGAACATGTTGGATGATGAAGAGACCTGTCACGCCACGCGTGAAGGGTTTATTCATTTGAGTGACATCGAATGGGGTGCGGTAGAACGAATGAGTTCTACCGTAGGCGAGTTCGCCATTGGCGCCATGTTGGAGTCTCTAGACAGAGACCAACAGCATGCCGCTATAGCCAAGTTCATTCAAAATTAACTTGTCGCCGAAAGGGAGAAAGTAGCCTTACTTCACCAGCAAGGCTCTCAACAGGCCGAGCAGTTGAGAGAACTCGGTGCTTAACAGACGAAGCTGTTGAGACAGCAGCAATTCCATGCTGCTGTGGGCAGGACGGCGCATGCGCCGTCCCGAGGTCATGACAATTGACATCTCCAAGTACAGTGGAGTCCCGGAAGACTCCCTGTTACTGTGGTTTGTCGAACTCGACAGATCCTTAAGGGCTCGTCGCGTCGAAGATGAGAAAATGAAACTCACATTTGCTCAAAACCACTTGGCAGGACGTGCCAAAACTTGGTCCCTGAGGCTCGAGAGTAGCGACCCAACTGTGTTTAGGTCGCTAAATGACTTCAAGTCCCCGCTCAGACAAATGTTCGAGCCGCCACGCGCTGAGTTCAGAGCTCGTTCAGAGCTACTGAAACTCAAGCAGGGTAAGCGTGATGTGCACGCTTTCGCACAACATATACGACTCCTTGCGAGTAGTATAACTGCTAACCCAGTACATGAACACACGTTGATTACGGTGTTCATGCAAGGGCTCTCAGAGGGGCACGCCAGGAGCCACCTGTTCCGCCTTGAGCTAAATACGCTGGAAGATGCGATATCAGCCGCGGAACAGGAAGACTTTAGCATGAGACAGGCTCATGCTAGCTCAAACTCTTATCGTCCACCGAGACGACAAGAGATCGGAGGTCCAGAACCAATGGACCTCTGCTATGTTGAGAGCGAAAGACCTCGCTCTTCAAACAACAAGCGATTGCAGAAGTGCAATCGCTGTCAGAAGTTAGGGCACTACGCATACGAGTGTAGTGCAACACGCCCAGTACCAAACAGTACTGAGCGAAATGGACGACCATTTGCCAGAAAGGGCAATGGGCGTGGGTCCAGCGCTGTTGCGAAACCGCAACAGCAAGACGGACCATCAAAAAATGGTCGGGGTCAGTAGGAGCGGAGCGCCCTACTGATTCAGCAACATCGAGAATATTAGCAACTCTCTTGACGAAAGTTGCTCCAGATACACAATCATTGTGTGTCTATGCACCTGGTGATGACGTTTCGCTCATCACCTTGAAGTTGGAAGCGAAAAATGATTTGTCGCTTCGTGCCCCAGTAGACTGTGGGGCGTCGAACAACTTTGTTCGTCGCCAGTCACTAGAGGGTCGTGGGCTCAAGTTCGTTGAGCGCGACATTCCCCCTCACAAGGATGACGGTGCGCCTTGCAACAGGCGCATCATTAACCGTTGAGAAACGTGTAGTAGGAATCCACTACACGTTAGAGGGCGAACAGTACGATGATGACTTCATCGTACTGGATCTGTATGACAAATTTGATGTCATCCTGGGATTACCTTGGCTCAGAAAGTACAAGCCAAGGGTGAGCTGGCAGCATCGATCCGTGAAGATGCCTGCCGCTTGTTCATCAGATGGCCATCTGATGAACATCTTGGAGCGTCCACAAGCGTGTGGATGTTCTGCGAGTGAGTGCGATGGCCTCACTTGCGGTACGGTCGTTAGCACGACTGCACAAGATCACAGTGTAGTTGATCAATACACTGTGGAACAAGCTCCCGGCGGCTGTACAGAAGTACAGGCTGCGCCGAAGGTCCACCACTCGAATAAGTCGAGTGGACCGGAACATGGATGAATGCCTAGCGGGCAGCATCTTAGAAGAAAGAAACCTGTTGCTCCCAAAGGGCAACATGAAAATCCTAGGGCGACTGGAGAGTCGACCGTAGAGGATCGGTTCCTGACTGTGGTTGCACAGCCACAGTCGGAAGACGTAGAGGGAATAAGTCCCCACGTTCTTGAGGAAAGAATCCCTCAAGATTCACTTGCTGAGGGATCAGACCCTCAGCAACCTGTGGAAGCAAGTTCCCAGGAAGAAACCAAGACGTTGAGCGTCTTGGTTAATGACGGATCAAGCGTAGGTGCCTATACGCTTGATCTGATTGTGCCTCCGAAGTCAACTTCGGAGATAACTCAGTTGCCAACGCTAGAACCGAAACGGTTCTTGCGTGATCTGCGTAGTGGCAAAGTCAAGCAGATCTGCATACTCGTCACAGAGGATGAGTATGTGGCCGATATTCGGTCGGCCACAGTATTTGCTGAGAACGAACGGGTTCTCAGCAGCTCATCAATGGACGAAAGTGTCCTCGATGAGAAGACTCGGATTGAGCGATACGCGTTTCAATCCTGGGAGTCACTTCAGGAAAATCCTTTGTATAAGGATTTGATCGAATTCAGGGATGTGTTCCCTGAATCCGTACCTTGCGAATTGCCTAAGGACAAAGGCACTCGACACGAGATCGAGCTCAAACCGGGCTCGAAATACTGTGTCATGAAGCAGTGGCCACTGCCTCGTGAACAAGTGATAGCGATCGACAAGTTCTTTGCCGATCGCTTAGCAGCGGGCCATGTGAGGGAATCAACATCCCCTCACAGCTCTCCGACCTTCTGTGTGCGAAAGGCCAAAGAAGGATGGCAGATAGTGCACGCATTCAACAAGTTGAATGCTTCAACGGTACCGGCTCAGACACCGATTCCGAGGAAGGACGTACTCATAGCTGGTATTTCAAAGAGTACTATCTTTTCGTCCATGGATCTGATGGATGGATTCTATCAGATCCTGATGCGTGAACGGGACGTCCCGTTCACAGCAGTGAGTACCCCCAGCGGGATGCTGTGGGAGTGGCTAGTGATGCCACAGGGGCTGAGTAATGCCCCTGCAACATTCAACAGATGTGTAACAAATCTGTTGAGATCGGTGCGAGACTTCGCACCGAGTTACTTCGACGATGTGTTCGTCCATAGTCGGGATATGGACGGAAAGACGGACGTTGAAGTTCACAGAACTCACGTTCGTCAGGTCCCTCAACTTATGCGCAAGCATAAGTTGTATGCCAACCTCAAAAAGTGTATCTTCGCGGCTAGCGAAATACCACATCTTGGGTGCATCGTGGGTGACCATGGCGTACGCCCTGATCTCGAAAAGATCAAGGCAATCACCGACTGGACAGTGCCAGTCGATGTCAAGGGACTGAGGAAGTCCCTTGGACTAGCGGCGTACTTGCACAAGTACTCGCGCAACTACGCCGAAATGACGGTACATCTTTCTTGTTTACTCAAGAAAAATGTCAAGTGGTCATGGAACGCTGAGTGCCAGCGTCCCTTTGAAGGTATCAAGCAGAGCTTGATGCTGTCGCCGATCTTGGGGATTGCAGATCAGGACAGACCATTTCATGTGGTCTGTGACGCCAGCGATTTTGCGATCGGCTGTACGTTGATGCAATTTGAAACTGGTGGCGTGGACCGCGTCATCTGTTACCAGTCGCATCAGCTGCAGGCAGCTGAGCGTAATTACCAAGAGCATGACAAGAAACTCCTTGCCATGAAGTACGCACTGGCCAAGTTTCGTGTCTATCTCCTCGGAGATAGACCGTTTGTTGTCTATACGGATCATGCGTCACTACGCAAGGCCGTAAACAGCCCACACCTCTCGCAAAGAATGGCGAGGTGGCTGTCTTTCTTCGCGGAGTATAACTTATCCGTCGAATATAAACCGGGACGACTCAATGTCGTCGCTGATGCACTTTCGCGCCGGCCCGATTTCGAGCCGGACGCACAATCCAACAGTGAGGATAAGCTCACTGTTGCGACACTGTCAGTCAGTGTACCGTCGTCGAGAAGATACTTGACGACGTACGAAAGGCATACGCGGAAGATAATTATCGTTTGCGATTGATGGATCATCTGGTGAATCCATCCAGTAAATCCATGAGGGATTTACCGGCTTTGTACCGATCCTCCTCGGATCGGTATAGTACACGGAACGGATTGATGTACTATACAGCTGTTGCCGACGACACGCCTCGTGTCGTCGTATCCGCTCATCATGATTTGCGTTTGCGCATCATGTATGAGTGTCACGATGCCCCAACAAGCGGCCATCGTGGTAGAGAAAAGACTTACCTCACGGTAAGTCGTGACTTTTACTGGCCCCGCCAGTATTAGTTTGTACGCAAGTACATACGTGCTTGCGAGGTTTGTCAACGAGTGAAGCCTAGTCATTCATCCCTTGCACCACTGCAACCTCTGCCTGTTCCGACAGAGTTCTGGCAGTCCGTTTCAATGGACTTCGTCTTTGGTTTTCCCGAAGACGCTCACAAGAATAATGGTATTCTTGTGTTTGTTGACCGGTTCAGCAAGATGGTCCATCTTGCTGCCGTACCCGAGTCGATCAAGGCTCAAGCTTGTGCTCGTGTCTTTCTCGACAAGGTCTTTAGACTCTAGGGTTACCCCTTGAACTCGTATCCGACCTTGACCCTCGATTAACGGCGGAATTTTGGCAATTCGTGTTCCGTTCTCTCGGAACACGGTTGACGAT